TAGATAATGCCATTCGTGGTTGCATTCCCAAAGAACTTTGCAGCCAGTGGATTCATTTTGAAGTGCAGTCACTATCATAATATAGGAAACTGCAGCTTCCAATTTGTGCTCATCGCATCCTAAACATAGCACACAGGGCTCTGTGCTCTATGGTCTTTTCCTTGGGACACACACTGAGACTGTGCCTGGAGGACCATCAACTCAGTGAAAGATGCTCTTTGGTCTACCCGAAAATTGTTGGTCTTCCAGAGCAAGGAGTTGACCCTGACTGAGTGTTACAGACTGGCACATTCCAAGGTCCACTGCTGAGTTTGGGGCACTAAAGTTTGGGGCAGCTGCTGTTGCTAAGTTATCAGACCCTCCCATTGCCTTAGTGTATGTAAGTACTCTCCTGCGAAAGTAAGAAATGTCTTTGGTTTTTGCAACTGCAGGGAATGTCAAATGTTTGTTTTGCTTGAGCGGCATGGTAGTTCAGTGGTTGGCACTGCTGCCACACAACGCCAGAGACCCGAGTTTGATTTCACCCTCGGGTGACAGTCTGCGTGGAGTTTGCACATTCTCTTTGTGGGTTCCCTCTGGGTGCTCTGGTTTCCTTCTGCAGTCTAAAGATGTGCAGGTTAGGTGGATTGGCCATACTAAATTGCCCATAGTGCCTAGGGATGTGCAGTCTAGGTGGATTACCAATGGAAAATGCATGGTTATAGGATAGGGAGGTGGTCTGGGGAGGATGCTCTTCAGAGGTTTGGTATGGACTCAATGGCCTGCTGACACATTGGAGGGATTCTATGATATGCAAAGACTGTACAGAACTGCTTTAGTATCTGTGAATGTAGGTAAAGAATTGTTTATGAATAAAGTACATTTTTGCAATTTAAAAAAGTGTCAATTGAGGTACTGTTGGTGTAGCTGCACATGGCGCAGGTCTGGCCCATTCCCAGAACCTGTGCTGTTGTAGTCATCCAAGCCATCTTCCACTTCACCTGGGGATCAAAGGTGGATTAAGTCTGCAAGGACACCATGTACAAAACTCTGGATAAGTGGAGGAAGGATCCCCATCCTGATGGCCACCTTGTTGTTCGACTGTATCAAGCTGTGTGTGTAGACCCTCAGTAGGCAAACATCTAGTGTTACTACATAGTGAGGTTCTACCTGTCCCCAGTGTTATGATGGATGGGACTCCAAGTAGTTGGACCATTCTGTATCACCTGGCCTTTGTGGAAAACTTTACAAAACAAAAATGCCTATGACACAAGTCCATCAGGAAGTGGTCAGCATAGATCGTTCTCGAGATCCTGCAGGATAAGGACCAGGTAGAGTCCTGTTGTGTAGCTCCTTCGGCTGGCTGTCAAAGTCATTTGGCAGAATGCCTCATCACCAGAACATTCCCCAGTAAGCATGAAGAAGTTGCTTGGCTGGTGGTGAGAAGGGTGCTGCCCATCAGGTCCTTCTTACATGCTTGGTCTGTATGCACCATCACATGCTGCCCTCGAAGTGGCTGCGCTGGTGAAGAGATTGTCACTCATTTTGTTCTGAATTGGGCTTTTGACAAGAAGGTGTGGAAAGAGACGCAGTGTTTTTTGTCGAGGGTTCATCCTGAGCAGCTTTGTGATACAGGGCTCTGTGCACTATGGTCTTACCCTGGGACGCACACCAAAACAAACATCGACTACGTCTGGGAGACCATCAACTTAGCGCTGACGTTCAGCTGACTCAGATGCACTTTGGTCTGCCCAAAACCTGTTGGTCTTCCAGTGTAAAGAGTTGACCTCAATTGAGTATTGCAGACTGCACATTCTAAGGTCCAGGACTATGTGCTGATGGATGCACTAAAGCTTGGAAAAAGACCACCATCTAGGGTTTTTCTGATAAAGTATAACAAGGCTTTGTTCAGTTGTCAGACCCTTTTCATACCCAAAAACGAACATAGTTTCTTGCATAGGGAGAAAATGCCTTTGTTTATTGCAACTGCAGAGGACCTCTAAAAATGTCAAACTTCCAACGTTTTTTTTGTTTTTCTTTCCCTGCAAAGCTTGTACAAAACTGATTTAAACCTTTTGTATTTACTTACAAATGATTATTTAAAATAAAATATATTTTTGAAACAAAAACTGTCAATTGACATCAACACAGACAGATCAAACAAATAAAACCAGACGATACTGGAGTTACTCAGCAACACCAAAACATGCAAATGATACAGCCTGGTCTGACTCACTTCATGTACCTCAAGATGGAGCTCCTGGATGACCAATACTCCATTTCCAAGCATGACCGCTCCTTTTATTGATGCTCCCTCTGGGAGAGGAACAGAGTTCACTTAAAAAGATGGTCTGATGTAATTGCTTTGTGTGGGATCTTGCTGTGTGCACCGAGAGCTGACACAAATTCTCCAGACTCCTTTTGGACGGCCCCAAGACATGACCTAAATGCAGTTAGGTATTATCAAAACAAAAACTGAGAGGATAACTGGGGTGGGGGAGCGGGACAGTGCTGGTTGTTGTGGTTGGTACTGAGCTGGATTGGCCCATCCCAGTTTAGGAGGTGGTCATTTCCCTCACCCTCTGTTTCAGCAACATCCTGAAATTTGGTCAGTGGGATCTAAGGGTAAACTGATCTGATTTGATGACACCCGCCACCATCCCGGAATTGGGGGGTGGAGGGAGTTAAATAGCCCCCTCAGAAAATCCTGCCAATGATATCAACTGTTTCGAACCACCTTGCAGACTCAATTCATAGAGGGTCCAGTCCCACCAGTGCCTTCGTTTCCAAGTGATGGACTCTGTCTCCAATGGTTCATTGATTCTGGGTTGGGCCCATGCACCGTTGCTTGAAATCCTCAGGCTTCCAAGTGGGTGAGCCTGGGGTGGAGGGGCCCAGTGTTTTTGACTACAAAGGAGGGTTATGTTGCGGAAGGGGGAGAAAGGGGAATGGAGAGAGATCTCTCTATCAAGGCAGGGCCTGGCCCTGCCACCTTGCTTTTGTTATTGCTACGCTCTACCCAAACAGACAGAGAGACAGAGATGCACACACATATATAGACGCCACAAGCAGACAGAGATCCCAGGCAGAGATAGTAGGAACTGCAGATGCTGGAGAATCCGAGACAACAAGGTGCAGGGCTGGATGAACACAGCAGGCCAAGCAGCATCATAGGAGCA